TCGTTTTTTTTTTTTTTAACGATTCTTATTGTAGTTGCTGCGCTATTTTCAATGCAACAAACTCCAGTTTTCTAGGTGCCTTAGTTTTTTCCCAAACTCACTTTAAAGATGGAGCAAAGTGGTTTTTCTCGAAAAGTTATGTTTGAGTTTTATGAACAGTTATTTCGAAAAAAATATGCCATATGCATATAACCTAAGCAAACACCTTTTCTTAAAATCTCAGACCTTTTACTCGATTTGATCAAATAAATTTAAGTGAAAGTTATGAAATTTTAAGTAAAAGCAATTGCTTAGTTTTTATGCATACGGACCAATGTGTTGAATGATGATTTTTCACTGCAATACTCGTATTACATGTAAATAATGGGGCTCATTCATGGTCAAAATAAAGTTGACACTAAAGTTAGTTACAGCTTTTTCACATCATTTTCAATGGAATAGGTATCTGTGAAAAAAGCTGCAACTAACTTTCTTCCTATTAGGCATGCGCATATGGATGCTTGTAGTACACACAGATGCGATCAACTACATAATTATTTTTAATAATTTTCTTTAAAATAGAATTCAATCTATAACAGAAACCGCAATAATAAAAGTTTAAAAGCTTGCACAAATTGCATAAAAATTAATCAAACTTCAAAAAAAAATTGTTATCAAGATTTCAATTTTTTTATTTTGAAATTTAGAAAATTTTCGGGTATGCAGCTTTGTAGCCCATTCAATGAAGTACACTAAAGTGCAAGTTTCTAGTCATTAAAAATTACCGTTGAATTTTTAGAATTTTTTTTGTGGAGGGTGTTCGCATTTTTTTTGTATGAAAAAAAAACAGCAACACCCCCACAAAAAAAATCTATAAAATCAATGGTAATTTTTAACAACTTGAAACTTGCACTTTCTTATACTATAATTGAATGGACTACAATACTGCATACCCGAAAATTTTTTAAATATTCTAAGTAAAAATTTGGATGACCATTTCTTGAAGTTTGATTCGTTTTTTTGCAATTTGTGCAAGCTTTTAAACTTTTATTATTGTGGTTCTTGTTACAGATTGAATTATATTTTAAATTAAAATCATTAAAAATAAATAAACATAATTTGCAAACAATATCATATTGAATTTCGTTGCTAATTAGTTGATCGCATCTGAATGTATATATGTATGTACATACTTACATATGTACATATGTACCCAATACACATACTCCAAAATCATTTATTGATAACGTTCTTGCACATGCACATAATATTACATATATGTATGTACATACATACTAACTTTCTTCTTATTTGGGGCTGACAAACTTTAACTTAAGAGTCGACTTTATTTCGTCTACTAATATGCCCCAATAGTTTTGGAGTCAAATGAAAATGCATTTTCTACGCATACGTATGTACATGCTCCATTAATTGATAACGTTTTTGCATGCATATATATGTATGTGCATATTACTGCCAGAAAAACTACGAACATGCATATAAATGTACATATGTACAAGTCACGGCAGCATACATACATATATATGCACATAATTACACGTATACTCAAATACAACAATAACTATTTCATTCATAAACGCATTTGCATATTTCTCAAGGCCAAGTAAATTCATTCATAAAAGCAACCGCAGCACATCTCCCCGCAAATTCATCACCATCAAGCGCAACTTTGTCAATCCGACACAAAAATTCTAAAATCTTAAAATGAAGAAATCTCGGCCAGCCAAGTGAAAAGTGGCAACTATTTCTCTATAACCAGTAAAATAAGTTATCTCGAATCTTGGCAATTTTTGGTAATTTTTGGTAATTTTTGACAAAACACTCGATTTCTCTGTTCCATACCAATATTTCAATCATTAACTAGTATTTTAAAGTGTCATTTTAATAAACATTAAATAAAAGTGTATGTTTTCTGCAGCAAAATAGGTACATTAATTTTTTTTTAATAAAATCAAAACTTGTAAAATCAGAAACATATGTGGTTTTATCGGAAGTTCACAGATGTAACGTGGCAACTTAGCTCGTTTTCATATTTTTCGGTCCGAAATTGTAAAATTTTTGTCCATGCCGCGCCACAATTTTTGTACAGGTGGGTCAATGTGCCTTGAACACCATTTACATATATACAAAAAAATTATTTTATTTATTTTTTAATATTAAAAATTTCTATACTTCAAAGCGTTTATAAAAGTATATTTACATATATGCACGGACGATTTTTAATATTTTTCATCCGTAAGCAAATCTTCAGTACCATAAAAGATTCAAACACATCAAAGTACAAGCAATGCAATGTCCAAGCTAGTGCTACCCCACTGTACATGTGTATATGAATGTATGCATGTATGCGTGTAAAAAATGTCAATTCCAGTTGGTTTTTAACCCATTTTGCGGACATAGTTTTTTTGGTTTCAGCTGGTTCCAACTGTTAATGAAGCACAATTTTTATGTTTAATCTTTATGAAAGTTACATGTATCGTCGAGAACATGGTTACATGCAGAATTTTAAATTAATTAATATTATTCACCATACAAAATGTACGAGTATTGCTTTATTAAATGCAAACTTATGCGAAAATCTAAATATTTCGCAAACATGGGGTTAATGGTTTCGCACACGTGCCAATCTGGTGCCGATTCGCAGAAATTGAATAATTTGTGTGTTGATGGGAGCGGCGAGGGGAAGACGAACGCCGACCAATCGCACATTTGTATGTACATATATATGTTACATACATACATTACATATCTACATATTTACAAAGGCATGTGTATATATGTACGTACAAATTTATGCGTTTGGCTTTTTGCATGAATAGAAAATTTGATTGCAGAAATAATTTTAATGAAATTAATTTTACAAACACATTTGTACTATATAATATTAAGTTTGTTAGTTAATATCGGTATTTTGATAACAAGCCATAATTTGTTAGACACACATACATACGTACATACACGGGCAATCAAAAGTGATTGCATGGTTCTTTTTTGTATAATATTTACAATGTTTTTCAAGTAAAAATTTTTTTGTTATTTTTTTATAAAAATATGGTTCATGCTTTAATCGAAACCACATAAGTAAAACTTTAAAAATTTATACAGAACGTAGAAAAATTCAACAAATTTTCATCTAAATTTTCTACCTTTTAATCTAAATTTTTAAAAAGTTTTGGGTACGCAGATAATTGGTTATGTATGTAATTTTAGTGAAACAAGTGAAAGTTTTAAGCGGATAAAAGATCGCTTTAATTTTTAATGAATTTTTTTCCGACGTATTTTGCGGTTTTATGCATAAAACAGGTGTAATTTATAAAATATAGTGTTTATTTTGTTTTTATTTTGTTTGCGAACGGTTGCACATTTTATTCTACAAGAAATTCGCATTTATGTATATGGTAAAAATTACAAGCCGTCCGCAACAAAAAATCATTAAAAATCTACGCGATTTTTTTAGCCCCTTAAAACTTGCACTTGCTTTTCTACCGATCTATCATTCTAAAAACTCAGATTAAAAAGTTCAAAATTTAGACGAAAATTTGTTGAATTTTTCTAAGTTTTGTATAAAGTTTGACTTATGTGGTTTTGATTAAAGCATTAACCATATTTTTATACAAAAAAATAACGAAAAAATTTTAACCGCGCGCAGCATTTGTTTATTTGCATATGTGCATACATATAAATGCATCTACATAGGTACTATGTATATGTATTTACAAACATTTTTATGCGCTTGCCTTTTAGCGAGTTTAAAATTTTTTTAATGAAGAATTGACTAATTGTTGACGAAAATATGGTTTACAAAATTTTCGCAAATTTATATTAGTTAATTGGAATTTTTATGAAAATAACGTTTTCCCAAAATTTACCCAGAAATTGTTTGTAATAACTAATTAATGTTTTCGATTTAATTCAATGAAAGGGGCATTAAAATAACTATCAAAGGTCATTTTTGTTGATAGATATAAACGTGCACAAAAATAACATTTCACAATTGCTAATTTATTCGAATTCTGTTATTTTGTGCCGCTCTGCGCTCACGCTGTTAAAAAATGGTGAGCTTCTAGAGCTATTGATGTTAAAAATTTAACGTGGTGAGCTTCTAGCCGATTTCTGATCTATTACAAAATACCAACGAGTAGCGTGTTGCTGCTTCTCTGTTTTAAACGTTCTCTGTCTGATCTTACCCTAGTCGTCTAACACGATTCTTTAGGAGTTCGGTATCAATAATAAGGCATACATTTAGGAGGCATTTCCGTACCCACCATTTCCGTTGAATTCGCATGTTGATTTTTTAGCTCTGATCCAATACTTTTCGTGTAAAATCCTGTAAAAATGTCAAACAGCAAAATTACTCGCTGAAGTGAGAGTAAAAAGTGAGTAACAACAAAAAGTACGGGAACAAAAAAGCTTTTTTTTCCACTAAAAACGTCAACCAGTGATCGCTTGACACTTTTCAGGATTTTACCAGGCGAAAAAGTTCGGGTAAAATCTTGAAACTTAATTCTCTACACAACTCTCCAAATATCGCTCTCATTTACAGGATTTTGCAGGAATTTGGAGTACGGGATCATTTTTCCTGTAACTTCCTGCAAGTTGGTGTAAAAACCTGTAAGTTCATAGAGTACTGGATCAGAGCTTTTAATTCACTACCGCCGCTAAAGAAGTTTCACTTCAAAAACGCATCTGATCTTATGACCGAAACATGGCTTAACCAACCCTGAGGAACTATTGGAAATTGATATAAGCCGTCGGTTCGCGCATTTCAAAGATTGAGTGGAGGTTATTATTCAAAATCACAAGATACCGGAAAATACAACCTCTACAATGTCCAAGTGGGACAACCATCTTAACCTAACCCTAGCTAAACCTATAGACTATGTTGAAGTAAAACAAAAATCGAACATTTAAATATAAAGTAGCGTGTGTAGTGTAACGCAAGTGTACATAGTATTATTTAGTTATGTATATTACATACATATAACTTGTCTATTTCCTACCTCTTGCTTTAATGTGCCATATGCGCCCTTAAACAAACTTCATTGAAAGCTCTGCAAAGCACTCGAGTATCGCCGAGCCTATCTGAATTCTTGTATACGGTGTAGAAAGTAACGTTTAAGCTCCAAAAAGTGATTGGCACTAAATTAAATTTTTCACAAAATTAGAGATTTTCACAAAAGTCCTCTTCAATGAGGATATGGCCTTTATTATATTACACTGAATCTTTGAATGTAGCATGCGTTTGTCGTACACGCACCAAATATGTACACTCTTGTAATCTTTTTTCTTTCATTTATTTTTTCCTTCGCACTTCGCAGTTGGCTAACAGGTTTCATAATCCAAACAGATTATGCATCTTTCACACTTCCTGAAGTCAACATCCGATGGGCTAATAAAGCCGGTTGTACATATGCGCACTTATATCCGGTTGCGTGCGTGCGTGCGTGCGTATGTGTGTATTTTCACACGCACACACACACATTAATACTTGTGAGAAAACTTAAGCTCAAATATAATGTACACACTTATGCACACCCGTAGGTGTATTTCTAAGGGAAATTTGTTGTTGTACACTCGTCAGCGCTGCAAACTTGAACTCCACGTTTTACCGAAAAGAGAAGAAATGTATGTAGTTCGATATGGCGCTGGAGAATAGGCGAACAATGTTCCAAAAAGGACACGCGTACAAATACAATCAAAGAAAAAGCTAAAAGGAAGTAGCAAATCAGCGAAATAGGTAAAACACACGCGGCATTCTAGTGAGTACACTCGAAAATGTATAAATTTATTTATGTATAAAGTACAGGCAGGTACATTCGCAAATCTAAAGCGCACCACAACAACGCGTAATAAATTAGAAATGTACGTCGAGGAGAATGGCGCGCGCCGTTGAAGCGTAAAGTCGAAAAGGTAGCAAGCATGAACCGGTGGCGAACGACGACGACGACACGGCGCACAGAGAAAGCAGCCACAAACGAACGAGACAAAGCGCGCGGCACAACACGCGATTTCGAAAAAGAGAGAAGCACATAAAAGTTCGAAAATTAGCGCATGGTCATTCCAAGAAGTTGGCAAAAAACGAAGAAGCGGCGTCAAAGATAGACACAAGAAATTTTCATAAGCAAGCAGCTTAAAATGAACGCATCAAGTCCATTGATTGAAGAGGAGTCTAAGCAGTTGTGGTGGCGCTTAATTTCATTTTGTTAATTATATTGTTTTTTTTTTTTTACTTTTCGGTATATATGTATGTATGTAACTTTGCTTTTCTATTTCGCACTTGAGACTTTGTGCTGCTTTTTACAAAGTGTGCATGTGCACTCGTCGCTGGTGCAAAGTCCAGTGTCTGCTGTCTACTTTCGTAGATACTTAATTTGGTAGCTGGATTTTTTTTTTTTTTTTAACCCACGTCGCGCTGTTGCTTAGGAATTTCTGTACAACGCCTATAAGTATGCACACATCTTAGTGGACCGCAGCATACACTTTTTAATGCACATCAAAATACACAATTGTTTAAAATATATAAACGATTTATTTTTAATTTGCCAAACAAACTTTTTTGCTTTTTGCTTGTGTATAATTTGTATTTATCTTTATTATTTTTTTTTTTAATCTCAACGCTGCAGCGTCTATTAAATCCCAACTACGACAACCGTACGCGCGTATATCCTTAACTCAACTGAGACAACACTAATGTGTCTATGGAATTTTGCGCAGTTCCAGCTGCGGGAGCAGACAAAGCAACGAGTGTTTGTGCTTTCCAATTTCGAACATCCTACAAACAACCCTCTTATGAGCATAGAGAGCACAAAAAAAAGAGTGCCATCAGACATAAGGGATGCTTCGATAGCGGCTGGTAAAGTTTTGAAAAGGTGTAAAGCTTTTGTTTGACAAGCTTTCTTTTGGCAGCTGGTTCAATGTGGTGTGCCATCAAAGAGTGTAGTATGGTAGGCAGCATGTTTTCTGAGAAAATTTACTTGTTTTTTTTTTAAGACGTGTACTAGCTATGTAAATTCAAGAATTACTTACCCATAATTCTGTATGATTTACCTAAACTTGGTATTGAGTTTTGACTTGCTTCCGAGATTTTCAACTTTTCAAGTGCGTTTTCGATTTTTAAAATCCACTCGTCTCGCTCTAATAAAAATGAAGAGTTTTGAATTGTAATCATGCCTGTAAAGATTTCAAAAATCAAATACCACGCTAAATGCTCAGAAGAGAAGAAAGCCAAAAAATAAAAATAAATTCGTTTAAGTTAAATAAAGCAAAATAAAATATGTAAAATAGGATTTGTTCCTAAATTTTTAGTCGCATTGCGAGTGAAAAATCAGATTGTAGATGGAATATGAGTACTTCAACGCTATTTAATGGGCATCATTGGGTTTTTATAAATTTTAAAATTTATTTTATATTGTAAACATTCGTAAATGTTGCTTAATCTAGCTTTGCTTACTTGTAAGCTTGCTGTAGGCTATTTTATTTAGATTATTATATCATTTTGCAACAAAACAATCAACGGTTTTTAACTATTATGTATTTACATATGTATCTGATAAAAATAAGTCAGCATCAGCACTGCAAAATGTACAAAATGCGAACTAATTAAAAAAAAAATTTTTTTTAATTTGTTAATCTAGTATGCATGTATGTGGCCATGAAAATAATAACTCTTTTACACGTCGAGCACTAACCAACCTAAAAATCTGAGCGACATTTTTTCGAAATTTTGCGAAAATGCTCATAGAGCATCGAGATGCATTTCTACATCAAAAAGAAAATTTTGGAAAAACTTTCATACATAAATTGCTCCGAGTTTCGGGTTGTTTTAAAAGCATAAACATTCCCCATAGAGTTGTTTGGAATCTGCTGGAGTGAAAATCCTTGGCTGGATTCAAATACGGGTCAGGGCTGCATAGACCCGTTTGTCGTGGGAAAACTTGTATCCTTTGCAGTGATGACGCCGAAATGTAGATATGAATTTAATTAACCTTTTAAGCTTGGCATACAAGAAAATTTTTTTATTCTTTCTTGTAATCAATTTAATTTACTTTAAACTTTTTAGTTATAATTTAACGCAAGCCAATAATACTTACAAACTTATGCAACGAGCACACACAGCTTCATTAATCGCTATATTTTTTACAATATTCTTCTTTTTTTTCAATTCTATATTACACACATTTCGCTTCATTCGTGTAGGAAGGAGTACGTCGTTTATTTACCTATTTACTTAGTAATTTCACTATTGCCTTTTCTACATTTCGGCGCTTAACATTTGGCGGAGCAACCACCAATCTCAGAAAGTTGGATGATTTCGTATGAAAAATATATCATATTCCTTTTCGATCCACTTAATCAACTTGTCTACGTTTTTTATGACCGCGCACTTATCTACAAGCGGTTCAAAAACTGCATAAAGCTCATAGGCAGCTGTCACCCAGGCGAGCACCACTTCACGATCGTGCACCTCGTAAATTAACTTTAGCGGTCGCGAGCTATTATGTATGCGATGCAGTAAATCACAGTATAGGCCTTCCAAGCGTTCAAATTCACTCAACGTTGAGTAAGGAGGCGCCAATTCTGAACAGAGTAGCTGTGCCGCCGATTTGGGTTTATAAAGGAAGTGCCGTAGTTCGGGTATGCCAATAGCTGTCAAATTTAAACCACCATTAGTAGGTTTCTCAATTTCTTTACTTATCGCTTCGAGACATTTCGAAGAACGAAGTTTTTCTGTTATACGTCTTTTAGCATCGGAGAGGGTGAAGAACACATTGGGGTCGACGGAGAGTAATAGAAGGCATGCCTGACAATCATCAGTGAGATACGAAACATGCGCATACAAATAACCATTCATATCGAATTTCGGCAAGCAGATAGGTGTCCAATTCTCCGAAGCCTTAAAAGACTCTGAGCACTCGATAAGATTAAAAATTAACCTGCAGTTGAAGAGGAAAATATGTTTGCTAATCAACTGAAATACTTGGTATGTATGCCTTTTCTTACCGCAAGTCTGCTGGATGTATAGAATATTTTTTCATGCGCACCAGCGAAATTAATTTGTTATTTGCTATGAGCACCGCAAATACTAAATCCTTAATTTTTGAGCAATTGCTTTGTATGGCGCTGACGATATTCGAACGCACAGTTGTAGATAATGGCATTACACGTATGGAGTTCGTTAGGAAGGTGAATACATTATTCGTCACTATTATTTGGAAAGATAATTTTAGATATTTTGATTTTGTGGTTATTAAAATTCCTATTGTAATGGAAAAACTTACCGCGCTTATTACTGCTGTCATTTGAGAGCAAATGATATATTAGTCGCTCACTACCTGCAAGCGAGCGCCGTAGATCGAAATTTTTACGCTTTTCAAAAATGCGTGTAACATGTTTGTAGGTGAGTGTTGATAAAATCTGATTGTAGACATCACTAAAATTTTGAAATAATTATTAAATTTATATTTAGTTTCTCCTTAGTAATTCTCGCTCACCTCAGTTGATGCTGCAGCTGTGGCACACTCATATTTGTGCGCGACGCAGCGACCAGTATGAGCGTATTCCGCGTAAGAAATACAAATTTTATGCCATTCGCATGTATGGACGTAATAGCATCTTGACCATGTTGCACAAAGCTAACCAAAGCTTGTATGACGCCAAATAGTGTCGCTAATTTATCTTCATTGCCGTGCAACGAATATATGGGTTTTCCTGCCTCGCTCAAAATGAATATGTGCTTCTTCTGTCCACACCACACACTATCATGCATATAGTCATCTTGCACTTCATAGTCGTCATCAGCATTAACATTGACTGCGCTTAAAGAGCTTGAAATTTCCCCAGATACGGTGCTGGTACTATTGCTGATGGGTAGCGATTCGGCGGATGTCGACTTATGTACATTGGGAGGAGCATTGGAATTGGAATTTTTGCTGATACTGTCACTTTCGCCATTGGCTGTAAGACCTTCACGTATCACATTTATGACGCTTGGACCTGGCTCGCTTGCCTCACGCTCTGTGTCGTGGAAATAGTCACTGTCATCCAATTGAGGTTCACATTCAGCATCTGAGTACTCAGAGTTCGATTGCACGGACGCTGCGTCCGAGTAATTTGTGGGTGGTTCGACATCCATGCTTGTTTTCTTCGAAACAACGCTTCCAAGTCTCCGCGAAAGTTCCAAACGGATTGAGGACTTGTAAGAGAAGACTTCTTATTACATCAAAACAAATTATATGCTTTTTACATAATATTTAACACCAATTTGTCGTTTATAAATTGATTTTCAACAAAATTCCACTAGTTTGTTTTGCTGCATTTATTAGAGATGCAAAAACATTGATGAAACTATAATAATAGTTGGCGCAGCTATCGATAGTTGTTGGGCAATATCGGATGGTCGGCTGAATCCACCGTAGGTCGATATTTCGCAAGGGCAGTGTTGACGTTCTGCACCTAAAGCGGCAGTTTTTAAGCGCTAATAGTTTTTGACTCGAATTTTTGAAAACTTTGATTTTTTTACCCTTTTCCCAATTTATGTGCGACTTTTGCCACTTTTCAGAGATTTTTTTAGGAAGTGTTAACAGCACCATGCTATTAAAAAATATTTCCTTCTGTAAGTACTAAAAAATGCATTACTTAAAACTTTTAAAGGAATACAACTACCCTTGCAGCAACTAGAATAAGGTTTTTTGTTGAAAAATAAGTAGTTTATATTTAGCTAGCATCTATTATAGCACGAAAAATTGTAGTTGAAACGAAAGTTTATGAAAAGGAATTGTTGAGTGACAACAGTGTGGTAAGCACCACTGAGGGCTCCAGCAATCGACAAAATTCTGCGTCATACAGACGGCGTTCAAGTGTAAGTTCTGCGTTCTTGACTAATTTCACCTTTTAGTGATAGAAGGATAAATTGATTGATTGGTAAATAATTGCTTAAAATTGTTTATTATTTAACTTATATGGCCAGTTACATTTCATTCTTACCTAGTGCATTGCGTTCATTAATTTTTTTATGTATTCGTAGCAAAATCGACCACGTCTGTTACTACGTTCATAAGTAAGCTATTTGCAAATAAAAATAATTTTAAAATTCCTAACGCTCTGTATATTCGATGGTGAAAAATTCTTTTTTAATATTGCCTGATTATAAAAAGAAAATAAAGTTAAAAATGGTAACGTCTTGATTATAAAAAGTCAATAAAATTATCATCAAAAAAGAAAATAAACCTAAGAATGGCGGCGTCTTGCGCTTATTTGCAAATAGTACCACTAACCAATACTTATTTGCGTGATTTAGTTATTTGCAAATAAAAAATTAACTCAGCGTTTATAAAGTTTACCATT